GTCTTCAAAAGCTTTGTCTATGTCGTCACACGTTTTGGCATATCCTTCGATGTAATGACAACCGACACTAGAATAGAAATCCTCCAGCAGTCTTTTAATGCATGTTCTGGCACTGTCACCAATTTGGGCAATTCCACAGTATCGTGCTTTTTCTCTCATTATATTGAAGCAAAGCTCTGCCATTGCTTTTGGTATTTGTTCAACACATTCGCAGCAGTCGGTTAGCGGTAGATGATCTATAAGATTATTATGATCCGGTAATGACTCAACAACACCATTACATTTCTTCACTTTGTTCCTTTTTCTTTTCACCTTCCTTCGTTTTGTCTTTTTGGTTTTCCGTCCTTTTCTTTTCATTCGCATTCTGCGTTTGCTTTTAATTTTTCTTCTCCTTTTCATTTTTCTTCGTTTTTCTTTACTTTTTATTTTATTTTCTGCTAATTGTCGTTTGCGATCTTGGCGAGTGGTATGAGATATACTGTTTCTATAAAGGTTATCTATAATACCATCTTTTAAAGAAAGATATTCTTCATAGGTCATGTTATCGTGGTCCTCTTTTGTCCTAAAGACCTTACATGGATATGATATAGAGGAGGGCTCTTCTTCGGGAACATCCTCTCCCCTACTTTGTAACATCCAGTCATTAAGCCCATATCCGTTATCCTGGTGATAATAAGGGGGGGGCTACATCAGACTTGGTTTTTCTCAGATTCATGGCTACTTTCAACGGTGGTCTTAGTGGGGGTCCTTAGTTTTATATGATTTGCGGAGTGGGATGGGACTTATTGCGTTGAGTGGGAGGAGTCATCTGTAGAAAATACTCTGTTTTATTAGATTCCGTAAAAGCATCTGACTCTTAATGGCAGTTTGTGATTTTGAGGCTATTTCAGTGAAACAAGGCTGTTTTTGAAACATTTGGCAGATTTATGCTTAAATTCTCTGATAAAGTTACTGAAGGATACACTTTTGTGTATAAAAGCTGAAAAGTAGATAATGAAGTACTTTGTGTCCGTAGATTTTGTTAAGAATCTGACTCTTAATGGTCCTCTCTAAATTTGATTCAGGGTTTGTTTGAAATGATTTGTGCTTTGTGTGTACAGACACACAGAAAAACACTGAAAAACACAAAAAAGAAGGACTGTAATACACATGTATGAGACACGCTCCCCCTTGCTATAATGAAGACATTTAAATGTAAAAAACACTTTTTTATTTTTTCACACACACAAAAATCAAATAGTTATACTGATTGCAACATCCGCAGGACCGTCTCCAGCTTAGAATTCCCCATATTACTGGAGATATCGTGATGGAGTTTTTTCACTTCAGTCAGAATATTCATGTGTATGCTGCTTTCTACACAGAGATGCATTACATCTACAAACAGAGCATACACTGATAGCACATGATACACTTTTGATGTTTGTTTCATTTCTGAGATAATGTTACAGAATGTTTCGGAAAATGAAGATTCCAGGACCACTTTAAATGTTTCGTTTACAATCGTTTCCCAATGACCAGGAATAGTACTGCCAGAACGAACGATATCTAAAATGTCTTCTAGTGTACAAACTTCAGCCATTCTGTTTACACAGGGGTCACTACTCGTTCTGTTTTCAATCGTCCTCATCACCACACTTATTAAAAGGGTATTGACTACATTCTGATCAATATATACAGAGCGTTTTGCATAGTAGTTTCCCATTTTTATTTTACTTTAAAGAAAAAAGTCCCTGGCTTCAGTCAACTGCTGGTTATTAGTCTTCTTCTTCTCCCCCCCACTCGGCATGGATCTTTTCAAGTCTCTCCTTGAGGCGTCTGCAGTTTGTGATTTTGAGACTTTTTACAGACACTCTGCAGATTTATGTGTAATTCTCTCACAAAGGAAACAGTAAGTCTCTTACTTTTTTTTATATGTATGACAATTTACAACTGGTAGAAAGTTAAGTACTTTTTCTGACCAGATTTTTCTTTAAGACTGTGACTCTTAACACACCAGAGAGCCAAACATACTCACCCCCTTTTCAACGCCCTCCCCCCAGCAGCTCAGGTGTGAAACCCTCATACAGAATGTCAGTCCCTGTGTAAAACTTTTTAGTGACACTCTGCAGATTTGTGTGTAATTCTCTCACAAAAGGAACTGTAAGATACACTTTTTATGTATGCAAAACCTTAAACATTTCTGAAAATAAAATACTTTTATCTGAATACATTTTCTTTAGAGGCACTTTTTGATTTTAACGCTATTTCAATGGAGATTTTGAGACTTTTTACAGACACTCTGCAGATTTGTGTGTAATTCTCTCACAAAGGAAACAGTAAGTCTCTTACTTTTTTTTATATGTATGCCAACTTACAACTGGTAGAAAGTTAAGTACTTTTTCTGACCAGATTTTCTTAAAGACTGTGACTCTTATAGGCCTTTCTGCTTCCATGCAATCTGCCGCTACACTTTGCTTGCCCCCTCAACACTGTCTTCAATGGTGAGTAACATACTGGTGATTCAATAAAGCACGCCCCTATTTAGTTGGTGGCTGAAGACAAAGCCTGGGTCCATTCTCTAGACTCTATTCTAGTCACATTCTGGAATAATTGGTGATATTTAGATTTGTTTTGTATTTACCCCTCATGTGCTGAGTCATTAGTCAATATGTGTAAATGTATGGAGCTTTAGGGAAACTATACATTTATTGGCACACTGCAGAAGCTTTATGCCATGTAACAGCAAGTGTCCACTCCCCCCGAGAACATTCCTGGACTTCACCCCAAAGGGAGTAGAGATGATTTGTTTTTGCATTAAGAACGACAGAGAAAATTTCTCTTTAAATGGTTTTAAATGGGTCCCAAAAGTTTCCCAATGACCGGAATAGTACTGCCAGAACGCACGATATCCAAATGTCTAACTACTAATTATTGTCGTCTTTCTTGAAACTGACGTGCTTAAATTCTTGAGAAAGTTACTGAAGGATACACTTTTGTGTATAAAAGCTGAAAAGTAGATAATGAAGTACTTTGTGTCCGTAGATTTCGTTAAGAATCTTTGACAGATTTATGCTTAAATTCTCTGAGAAAGTTACTGAAAGATACACTTTTGTGTATAAAAGCTGAAAAAGTAGATAATGAAGTGTCCGGGGTCCGGGGTTTCACACGGACACAAATGAACTTTGTGTCCGTGTGAAACCCCATACAGAATGTCAGTCCCTGTGTTACAACTTTTTAGTGACACTCTGCAGATTTGTGTGTAATTCTCTCACAAAAGGAACTGTAAGATACACTTTTTTATGTATGCAAACGTCTTTCTTGAAACTGACGTGCTGACCGTTTTACAAAACAAGTTATGTTTTCTACTTCTTCATCCTCTGAATTTTCCTCCCCCGTCCCTCTTCCTTCACCCCTCACAACAACAAATCAAGGTGGATCTGTGAAATGAAACACCTCTTCCCAAAGCGTGACTTCCCTATTGAGGGCAGTAGGGTCTAAATCGATTGACCAGATATACTAACATGCAGAACGTACGGTATGTTTTGAAAAAAAGACTAACCATTTATCCAGTTCAAGCTGTCTTTAAGATGTGACATTGCGCACTGACTATTTCCCGTAAAATCGTGACAAACTATTACTTATTCTTAAATTTGATCTCTTGCTGCATGGTTGAAAATGATAGATGAAAAATAACTTTTTTTAAAAAGAGTCAAGTTTTTCAAGATCAGATACAGGTCAAGAAAATGCATAGAGGAGGTATGGTGCTGGCTCATTAGCCCTCTCACTCTTCTTAGAATGATCCTGTGCAATTATAGTTAATAAAAGTAATTACACATTAGTTCACAAATCCATACAACTAAAAGAGAATACCCTTAGGTATCACTATTAAAACCTAAATAAGATCTTTTGAAAATAACCTCTTTTGCAAAACAGATACTTCTTTAGCAGTTTCACAAAAACTTGAAAAGAAACATCCTGAACGGGAGAGGGGTGAGGGGCGGGGGAAGTGTGTGTATGTGTGTGTGTGTGTGTGTGTGTGTGTGTGTGTGTGTGTGTGTTCCCCCCTCCCCTCGCCCGCCAATTTGCCTGTAGAGGATGTCGGGGGTTTTATGATTTCTCTCACACGTGTCCTAGCTTGTCTTCAGACTGTTCACCAAACTTTTCACGGCACTCTTCATAGCAGAGAGAGAGAGTTAGTGAGATTGACAGTACTTTTAAAATATATGGTTGCTATATTTCTTGTTATTTGCAAGTATTTGTAAGTTACAGTCAATACTGCTGTATACAGGGGCACAGGAAGTGGTTAGGTGGCGGGACCTTGCTCTTTAGAGCTGAGACATTACTTTTAAAATATATGGTTGTATATTTCATGTTATTTGCAAGTATTTGTAAGTTGCAGTCAATACTGCTGTATACAGGCGCACAGGAAGTGACTAGGTGGCAGGGACATTGATCCTATGCATATGTGATTCATTATAAAATTATTATTTTGTAAAACCGTAGGGGGCAGCATTTTATTTTCTCCTGGTTGTTACATTTCATGTTATTTTGCCGGAAGCGGGGGCGACCGGTAGGGGCAGCATTTTTTATTTGATCATTTTCAAATTATTTTCAAATTTTATTTTGAAAACCGGCAGGGGCAGCATTTTATTTTTCTCATGGTTGTTAAATGTCATGTTATTTTATTTTGAAAACCGGAAGCGGGGCCGACCGGTAGGGGCAGCATTTTTATTTTTATCATTTTAAAAATATTGTAAAATTTTATTTTGAAAGCCGGAAGTGGGGGGCGGGACTTTCGGCGGAAGGGGCGGGGCTTAGAGGTGTGACCTTTCACTTTCTATGCATACTAATGAGATGAGAGTGGTATGTGTATAACTACTTAGGACTATAATATGCATAACCTTATCCATATAACTATAGGGAGTCAAAACGGCTAATGCTTTATATTTGCAACAGGAAAATGAGCTTGAATTGTGTGAATCTTTTGTGACAGGATGTGATTCTGTTTGTCCCTGCAGGTTATAGAAAGAGACAGAATGAGGAAGTTCCTGTCTTTCGCCCTCTGTGCTCTTCTCTGCTGCTGCTGGACAACACAGGCAGAGATCTTCACTTCCATAAGTAGGTTTTGATTGTTATGTGCTAATGTACAATTATTCCCCCATCCATATTTCCTTTGGTCAATTAGGGGAGTTTCTTAACTCAGTGTGGGTGTTATTATGGGCCCCACCCTCTCTTTCAACTCCCACATCCGGTCCATAACAAAATCCGCCTTGTTTCACCTCAAAACATATCAAGACTACGGCCCTCACTTCCCGACACAGAAGCAGAAACACTTATTCACGCCTCAAATCACCTCTCGTCTGGACTACACCAAGCCCCGGCAGCACCTCCCCCCTACCCTCCGTCCCCTCCTCTGGCTCCAGGTCAAGTCCCACATCCTCTACAAACTCCTCCTCCTCACCTACAAATCTCTCCTTGAACTAGCCCCCTTCATTCCTCACCGACCTCCTGCCCACCTACACCCCCTCCCGACATCTGCGGTCCTCTGATTCAGGTCCCTCCCCCGCACCAAACTAAAAACCTTTGACAACAGAGCTTTCAGTGTTGCAGCCCCCAACCCCTGGAACTCCCTCCCCATTGAAATCAGGACTGCTGACCCTGTGGATATTTTCAAAAAAGCACTCAAAACACATCTGTTAGTCAAGGCCTTCAGCCTCAGTTAACTTTCTACTCTAGCCTTTGTTCAATCTGTTTTTTATCATCTTATTTCCTCCCCCCTGTTGTGTGACTGTTTTCCTTTTTGTCCCCCCCCCGGCCCCTCGTCCTATTGTACAGCTTCCTTGGGTTCCTTGAAAGGCGCTATGTAGATCCAAGTTATTATTATTATTAGTGTGTCAAAATTCCAATTATTACAATAATGCTTTTCATTTAAAAGGTGACATTGTGGTACTTAGCTATACATATCTATATTGAACTTAGAAGGCTGATAATAACATGCATGTCTCCATGAAAGCAACACTCAACTCCTATGGTGATCAAAATAATGAATGATGCATTGATGGAGAACACTGCTAAAATAAAATTAGACTTTTTTATGTAATTATGTCACCTTTTTTTCCATCCCATTTAATCCGGATGCACATCATCTTATTTTAGTTATTTGAAAAAAAAACGTTCTAATAGTCATAATAGTTTGATTGACTGTTTTCCTGAATAGGGGCATCAGCAGCTCAGGAATGTCTTCACTTTCCCATAAAAAACGTCTTTAGAAGGAGGATGTGGTGAAGAGGCCCGTTAAGTCTGCATTTATTTTGAATAAAACTGAAAAAACTCTTAAGAGAAATCCTTGTGGTCCACTTACGCCTTAAATAGAATTTGTAAAAAAAGAAAAAAGTTTTGTGCGTGATGCAGAAAAAATATCAGCATGATTTATGCAGGTCAAATATAAATCTCTTTTTCCACCTTTTACAATAAACAATAATACAATCATGCAAATATCCCCCAATATCCTTTGTCCAATGCATTCCTATATCTAGTATGTGAGCGGATCAGTGATTTATAAAAACTGCACATATGCTATGGATACATTCATTGCTCATTGTATTAGTCATTTGAATACCCTTGATTCAGAATCGATGAAAGTGTTTCCTTATTCCTCCTCCCTGGCAACCCCATGTATATTTACGATGGCTCAGTGTTTTCATGGAAGTGTTTTAGATGCTACTTACACTCTCCACTCAAAGGCTCATGGAGGAATGCCTGGCTGTAGTTTGCTGAGTAATTCTATACAATTGAAAGCTGTTTGTGGCTGAGCATTTATTTTAGCTTCGGCTAACATGCAGTCTGTAAAATTCAGGTTAATCTCCTGCATGGGCTCATGTGTGCTTGGGATTTGCAAGGAAAAAATATTGTAATTTAAACAAATGTAAGTAAATACAGAGGGTGATGCTGATGTTATCTCTAGTGACACCTCACACTCACCTTCAGTGTCTCTCTCTCTCTCTCTCTCTCTCTCTCTCTCTCTCTCTCTCTCTCTCTCTCTCTCTCTCTCTCTCTCTCTCTCTCTCTCTCTCTCTCTCTCTCTCTCTCTGCTCTCTCTCTCTCTGCAGGCCAAATGACGGACCTGATCTACACGGAGAAAGAGTTGGTCCAGTCTCTGGGTGAATACATAAAAGCAGAGGAGTCCAAACTTTCTGCCATAAAAAGGTATACTTAAACCCTGTTACTTGACAACAACCCAAATAACAACTAAATGAGTTGCTCAAGTACTGTACTGGATTACAATACAAAAAAAACTGTTGTTTGTTAGATTATTTCCATGTTAAGCTCATTTATGCCATTCATTTATGCTTGTACACTGAACACAAATCTTTTGTTTTTGCTCCCATTTTTCATGAGATGAACTCAAAGATCTAAAACATTTTCTATATACACAAAATAACCATTTATATCAAATATTGTTCACAAATCTGAAAAAATCTGTGATAGTGAGCACTTCTCCTTTGCCGAGATAATCCATCCCACCTCACAGGTGTGGCATATCAAGATGCTGATTAGACAGCATGATTATTGCACAGGTGTGCCTTAGGCTGGCCACAATAAGGTGCTATATATATATATATATATATATATAAATAAACTTGCCTTGCCTTGCCTTGATGGGTTATTTAGGAGCTTCGGCCGGAGAATTCACAAAACAAGTCCAAGAGCCAGAGGTTCTGACTTCACGGTAGAGTTGCCACGTCAATTCTGGAGCGCCTCTCTCTCGTTAGCCCATTTAACTGGTTTCGCAGAGAGTAATCAACATATTTGAGAAGATAGCCTAAACAGTTGGGAACAGTTGGGAACACTGAGTTACTTGCGTCTGACACTTAAGGCCTCGAAGATTTCACACCTTGGAGTCCACAAACACAGAGAAGGAAGTGTCCCAGTGTACCCACAACAATAAACCATCTGTGACCTAGGGTTGCCCGGTCATAGAATTGGAACAACAACATTATGGCTGAAGCAGCCTATCTCCTTAAAGGAGATAACAGACGTCAGGGTTGGTCATGCACGTCATATCTAGGAGTCCAGGACAATTATTTCCCTAACAGTTTACTTTGTTTCCCACTATAGTTGACTGAGTTTCAGATGACTATTTACTTCCCAGATTTAGATTCAAAATAAAACATTTACGATGGGCTTATAAAACAAAACATATAGTCAAAGATGAAACCAGTGGAACATAAGAGAACATGATGTAACATGGTAGGGTAATTCAAGTTAGACAACCACTAAAGACTTTTATTATTAACAAATCTCTTGCTGAACAGATATGAAGATATACAGATTTGTTAGTGTTATGACTGTTGCTGAATAGATTTGATTTATATGTATAATATGTGGAATAACGCTGTAATCCATAAAAAAGGTTATTTTCCAACATTATTAAACAGTATCTCGGTTTGTCGGCATAACACAAATAAAGACCAATATGGATAGCATTTACAGTGACGAGCTGATATAATAATAATAATAATATATTAATTTTATATAGCGCTTTTCTGGACCCAAAGACGCTTTACATTTGGGAGGGGGGGTATATAAACAAAACAAAAAAACAGAGACAAAGCCAAAAAGAAACAAAACACAATAGAAAAGCAGTCAGGAGGAAGTTGATTAAGAGGGGGGGGGGGGCTTTATAGATAAAGAGTTGAAAAGGTGGGTTTTGAGGCGGGACTGGAACAGGGTGAGGGATTCAGACTCACGGAGGTCTTGGGGGAGTGAGTTCCAGAGCTTCGGGGCTGCCACAGAGAAGGCTCTGTCCCCGAAGCTCCGGAGTTTGGCCTTGGGGATTGAAAGCAAACCGGCTGACTAACTGCATTTAAACTCAGTTTGATGGATTACTTTGGTGATTCCCCAACTTGGAGTCAGCCCCTCCACAATTGAAGATGACCGTGAGAGGAGGTGAGATGATTGATGGGAGGATGACTGGTGGAGGAGAGAGGAGGCGGACTCTGTGGTTACACATGATTACATATATCAGAGGTAAAGAACCCAACATCTTGTCTGTCTGTCTCATAGCTGGGCCAACAAACTGGACGCTCTGACCAGATTGTCCACCTCAGACCCAGAGGGATACCTGGCCCACCCTGTGAACGCCTACAAACTGATGAAGAGGCTCAACACAGAGTGGTCCGAGCTGGAAACCCTGGTGCTACAGAACCCCTCTGAAGGTGAGGGGGGGAAAGGGAGGGAAAGGAGGAAGGAAGGAAGGAGTGGAGCTGGACAAGAGTGGTGTGATTTCTTCTTGTTTGGATCTCCATGTGATATTAATGCTCACAATTAAGTTTAAAACAATGACACAAATCAATCACATCACCAAGTTTGACCCAATGTTGTTCCTGTACTAGCAGCCTAGATGTTTACTATGAATCCCATGGATTAAAAAAGGTAAAGATAGCGAAAGAACAAGACACATGCATTGACTTGAGACCACTGGACACCAGTAAGACCCATAACTACCTCCACCATAACTGCTGCAGACAGATGATGAATAACTGAGAAAAGGGCATTTTGCCGAAGCATGTGCCAGTTTTCGTAACATTTTAAATCATCATTTATCACAAATGATTACATTTTAAAGATTGACAGCACTAGTTATAATACTATTGTTATGATAGATCAGTCAAGGAGAAAAATGTCTTGCTTTATTTGCGTGAAATGTACTCCTGGAGTCTGTTTTTTGGCTACATGAATCTATGGGCCTGTTGCCTGGCTGGGATTTTACAGACATTTCCTGTGATACGAGCTATGCCAGCTTGAAAGCGTATCATACAAGTAGTATTATTATCATCCAGTGAAGTTTCTCCTTTCTCTTTGCATTTACTGACGAAACATCTGAAAATAACTGAAATTAAGCTCAAGCAGAAACTACTTAAACCAGATCCGATATGTAATTGCATTACTTTATGCTGCCTTTGCAAACATTTCCAATCCCATTGACATTGTATGTATTCATACCATGCCTAATTATCTCTTCACGCTGTATAACGCATCTGAAGGGCAGCATTCAACACTTGCTTTATCGGACTCTCAGCACAAGCAGAAAGCAAGCAGTGAATAGTATCTCTAATCCAGCGTGGATGTGAGCAGAGTGATTATGGCCTGGACTGCAGGGAGGAATTTTCGGCTGAACTGCTCTGCTCAAATACTTCCAGAATAAACACAGAGAGCAATGAGGCCGCCATGTTTTAGCCCCAGCTGTTCCTCATCGCCGCATATGTTGGACATGTTCTCTCTTTGTGTTTGTTTGGACCTGAAAGCCTGTGTGTGTGTGTGTGTGTGTGTGTGTGTGTGTGTGTGTGTGTGTGTGTGTGTGTGTGTGTGTGTGTGTGTGTGTGTGTGTGTGTGTGTGTGTGTGTGTGTGTGTGTGTGTGTGTGTGTGTGTGTGTGTGTGTGTGTGTGTGTGTGTGTGTGTGTGTGTGTGTGTGTGTGTGTGGGAGGCAGATAGTTTAAGCATGCATGTGTCATCGAGATTAACTGAATATGTGGCGATGAGTCAGAGAAAGAGTGTGAAAGAGACCAGATTTAAACCTTATAAACATAAGCATTTACTGTATAAGACAATATTTGGATTTAGTATGTTTAATTAGTTTACATAAGCAGGTAGTGTTGTAAAGAACATGCATACCCATATTAATTTGTTGCCTCTTTCATAACACGGGTGAATGCACATGAAGTCATTTGAAAGATAAGAAGATTACACATACCGCTGAATACCACAGAGCATGTACAGAAAATATTTAATGAAAATGTAACATCAGCCCTGAGGAATTCCTTTTATGATTTCCCAGGATTTACTGAGCAGCAGATGGTGATATCTAATGAGGAAATAACGGGAATAAGAAGATCTGTGGGTTTTAAGCATGAATACAGTACATCAAAGATATTGGCAATGGCAGTTGCAACCTTTGTTTTCATTACTTGCTGCAAACAAGAAAGACAAAGACTAAAACATTTCATAAGAAGTAAATAGTTGATTTGAAATTGTATTATTAAATGCATGTCATTTTGATGAATTATACCAACATCCAACACCTTTTATATTTTACTTTAGCATAAGAGGATAATTGACTGAAATAAAGTAATCGAGTAAGGTTTTCTTTTTCAACACTAATCCAACATTAAATTAAAACAGCATATTTGAACAAAGTATATGCTAACTTTTGGCTTTTTTCGAAAAATACAACATTAAATAGTTATAGCTTTAGTGTTGAAAATGAACAGGCTCGATGTCATTCTTGTTTTTTTTACTAAATCATTAATTTACTTCCACCCTGACATTGCCAGCCTAACTTTTTATTTTCTGTCTTCTCAGGGTTCATTTCCAACATGTCCATACACAGGCAGTTCTTCCCAGATGAGGAGGATGAGAAGGGTGCAGCCAAGGCGCTGATGCGTCTTCAGGACACGTACCAACTGGATTCTGAGGCCTTCTCCAAAGGAAAGCTGCCAGGTAACCAAAGAGAGAACATGAGTACAGAAGAGGATAGAGTCAGTGTGTACATTTCTGCAAGAAAGACAGGAAGGCTCCCTGAACCCACCTATAATAAGCCTTTTATATTAATGGTTTGTTTATTTTATATAAACACGATTGTGTGCATAAGTAGTTTGGGTTTTGGCCCTCCTGATATGGAACATTTTTGTGAAATGAGGTGAAGTTGAGGACCCCTCACTTCACTCCCAAGGGTTAGGGCTTGAATTTAAAGTTAGTGTTAATTAAAGGTGGGGTTGGAGATTAAGGGATTCTTTTAGGGTTAATATTTTGGTTCTGTTCATTACAAATGACTCAGTTATAGTTGCATCATACACAGACACATGTTGAATCCGTTGTTCCTTAAGTTTGCGTTTATTTGTTACATGACTCTCATCCAGTAAGGTTTAGCGGTTTATACTACTTGGTATTGCAACAGTGCGAAACCCTCAAATTGTACAGAGATTGTCTTTAAAATCTTATGTATGTTGGGGAAATATTTTCCAAAGCTCATAACTTTGACCCAGTTTATCAGTTCATACTGTCCTGACTGAGCACAGGCACCTGTAACCTTGGCTGCTGTGCTCTCAGTGTTGTGTCTCCCTGTTCCTGCCTGTTGGCGTCAGCTGATAGAGGTGTTATGATTCTATCTTGTTATGCACAATGTTGATTATTCTCTCTGAACTAGCTAAATACACGGGTCTGGGGTAGAGTTCTTCAGAATTGACGTGGCAACTCTACCGTGAAGTCAGAACCTCTGGCTCTTGGACTTGTTTTGTGAATTCTCCGGCCGAAGCTCCTAAATAAACCATCAGTGTTTGACATCAGAGCTCCAGCTCTCCCCGTGTCTCTTTCCTGAGTCGGTGACTCCCACTGCATTGCTACACAGAAGTTTTCCCCCACAATGTATGTATATATATATATATACCCAGGATGGATACATTATATTTAGATTTGTTCTAATAATAATAATAATAATTGTATAATACTTTTTCCTACAAAATTGATTTAGACCCAAAATATTGCATATACAAAAATAATGCTAAAAAACGTTTAGTCCAAACTCATCAATGAAATCATACAAATATGTCGTGTAGAACATGATCTTGGGTAGGTAAAGATATTACACAATATTGTATGCTTTTTAATGTATTGAATTTTGCCACAGGTATTCACTCCAATGTCATGCTGACGGTGGAGGACTGCTTCGATATGGGGAAGACGGCGTATAATGACGCAGACTATTACCATTCTGTGCTGTGGATGCAGCAGTCCCTAAAGCAGCTGGATGCCGGGGAGGAAACAGAGGTTGCCAAGGGCGACATATTGGACTACCTCAGCTACTCTGTTTACCAAATGGGAGACCTACCTCGAGCCATTGAGCTGACACGGCGACTGGTGGCTATTGGTAAGATGCAACATGGGAAAGTGTACAGACAAAACCTAGAAGCTCAAATCAGTGTGCACACTCTTTCACATTACATCATTAACAAATCTGTCATTCATTTACTTCAGCATGAGTCAGTCTTTTATGCAGCCAAAAGGGATGGGTGAATGAGTTCATGGAATTTATTTTTAGAAATCAAAAAGGGAAACTGTATTTAAAGATCACTTAACCCACATACACACACATACAGACACCAGTGAGCTGACCAATAAGGCCGCACTCCTCCACCATAGGCTAATTGATAGGTTGTCTTCTTGCTATTTCACTAATGCCTCTCCTTTCACTGCAGTGGAGCTCTTGGCTTGCCAGAGCAGCAGGGTGTTGTCCATACAAAGGAAGAGCCCGCGGTTTGTAACTGTTATTTTAGGCCCGTCCACACGGGAGACGAAAACTTCGATATCAAAAAAGTATTCCGTCCACATGGAATCGGCTCAAGAAACGTGTCCGTCCACACGAGACCGCTCGACCCGCTGGAGACGTTGTAGTACATATGCCGGGCCTGTAAGTGGCGCTGTACCTCCGCCACAAAATACACCAAAAGCAGTGAAGAAGACCGATGACGATTATTATTATTATTATTATATTAAATTGTTATTTTTGCTGATGGTTGTGGTAGAGGAGCTGTAGAGCACGAACGCAACCCTGTGATCCGCCATTGTTGTTGTTGGCGAACGGGGGTGAGCAGGAAAGGTGGGGCTATGGCGTCAACGTTTTCAGGGAATGATCGTATAGGGTGTACACAACAGGGCCGTCCCTCCCAACAGGCAGATCACGCAGACTGCGTGGGGCCTCATCTTGAGGAGGGAGCGCTAATTGATAATAAGCGCAGCTATGCGCTTATTATTAGTGTGGCGCGGCACGGTTTCGGGCCTGTGTTCCACTAGCACCGCCACCCCCCGTGTCGGCGCTCGCGAAACAGAGGGCCTCTATTCGGGCTCCGAATCCGCTTTTCCGTGTCGAGACGTCTATACCAGGGGTCTCCAACATGTCGATCGCGAGCGACCGGTAGCCCTCAATAAGTAACATGTCCCCCCCACTTTTCCAAATCCCGTTTGTGCCTCCCACTTTACAAATATGTTTATTTATTTTTTTAACGCTAGCCATCATCGCCATGGAGGAGCACACAGCCTCTGTGAGCGAGCGAGACAGAGAGAGAGAGAGCGAGAGAGCACACCTTTATCTATTTAATATAGTTGTAAAAAATAAAGTAAGAAATCATTCCAATACGTATTATAGGACAGTAAAAAAAAAAAAACAGTTTAAAAGGGGAGTGATTAGTAAAATATGCATAAATAAAAAGAAAGAATGTTAACTAGGTAACATAAGATAAGAATAAACACGTTTAAATGATTTGTTGTTGGTTGTGATCATATTCTAAAGATGTTTGGATTATTGAAAAGTATACAGCTCCCTTTCATCTGAGTGTTGAGAGCTGTGTCCATAAATTCATTGTGTGCTCAAAGTGCACCAGATTGATGCATTTAACTTCAACATTTAAAAACGAAATCTTCCCGGGGGTGCATGCCCCAGGACCCCCCTAGAGGAGGTGAGGACCCCCATAGAGATGTGAGGACCCCCCATAGAGGAGGTGAGGTCCACCCCCAAATAAAGCAGGTTAAAAATAATTAAATTGCATACATGTTATTTTAGTAAACACTGAAAACGGGTTCCACAGACCCAAACAGCACACAAAGGTTAAAGGTAAGCATATAATAATGTTAAAATGTGCTAAATATATACACTGCAAAAAACAAAAAAAAGAGGAGTAAAAGTAGCTCACGACTTGTTTTATTTTTTGAAAGTCGCTCTCATCCTAAAAAAGGTTGGAGAGCGTCTATACAATAGAGAACGTTAGCGGATTCAACTGATACAAATAAACTATAAAACTGGAAGTGCAGTAAAAAATGTAACATACAAGTCAGAGGTAAAACAAATGCATATAACCGACATATATAAAAACACATTATTGCAACAGTGAGGTGCAAAACAGCCAGACTACATAGTGTGAGGAGAATCATGGATAAAATGCAAGACAAAAACAAGTGTGTGGTCCTTTTGTCACCCACACAAATATTGGTAAACATAGAGCCAGTCATTAATCCATACATCAACATTTGTTTCTTTAGCATGTCTCCATTATTTAAAACTGTTTATACTTTGTGTTACTAAATCAGTGTACTTCAGTGCTGTTGGAAAATAGCATACATACTCATTTATGTTGTTTATTGAATCCTCGTTTCAGAAGTCTGAAATTCCCTTCAACAAAAATAATTAAATGCACATTTTTGTCCAGCAAGTCGATACTTAAGATACCCTCTGTTTACTGTAACTTTGGTACACACAAGGCAGCTTTGTTCCTACATAAAAAATAACCAGCGGCAGAGTATGGTGCTGTAATTCATCTGATTACTAATGAACTAGTGCATGTCCACAGACTTCCACAAGGTAGTGTGCTTTTTCTACTTTCTGTACTTTCTGTAATTGCTTAAATACCTCAAATAATATCTAAAGCACACAAGGGACTCCTCATGGGAAATATTAAGATCATTTTCTTTATTCACCATTACAAAAAGCACACCATCAGCTACTCCATTGCTAAGCAAATACCTGCATTTATAAATGTGACTAAATAACATAACTGTTGAAGAAGAAATGCAAAATACCAAGTGCTAAAAGATTCTATATAGTCATTATAGCTGTTCAGATCAAAGTAGAGGAGTAAAAGGTACAATATGTCTTCTGAGATATAGTGGAGTTGAAGTATAAAGCTTATTTAAAAGATAACACTCATGAAGTCGACAAAATGTTGTACTCAATTCAATCATAATTAAACCACTAGGTCAAATAAATAAACTATCAAAGCTATAAAAATCACTTTTATAAAATGTGGCCATATAGTAAACATCAACACAGGTTATCCTCTGCTTTACAGGTAATTCCACTTCGGAGTAGAAATGTTTCACAAATGACCAACATTTTCTTGTATTGGCAGATCCCAGCCACCAGAGGGCAGGAGGAAACCTGCGTTATTTTGAGGGCTTGCTTACCAAGCAGCTCAGTGAGCTGAACCAGGAGGACTACCCGCCGCCCTCTGAGGAGCCCATCCAGCTGGGAACCTACACCAGACCCAAAGACCACCTCCCAGAGAGAGACATCTACGAAGCTCTCTGCAGAGGAGAGGGGCTCGGAATGGTGAGACATAAGGACAAAAAAAATGCTCATTGATACAAAATCTATAATATAAAGAGGAAGTCAAAATCACTAGATCTCTACCTACTTTTCTGAGGTGTACATTTGAAGTGAGCAAATACCTATTTTGACATTAGATTAGAGCTTCAACAACAAATAAAGGAATTGATGTAATATACAAGAGCAATGTTAAGAAACCTGCAGTAAAGTGACAGTTATAACAGCAAGCTTGCAATTACTGCAGGCATAAACACCCCTTTCACAAAGACGGATTATATGGTTGTCGAGCAATTCTGGGAAGAAAAGGCTGATAAAACTCATTTACAGCTATGATCGATGTGGCGTGTTTATAGCAAAATGTTCCACTTAAGCTAATAAAAGCTCTGTTCTGCTCTGCTCTGACGTTTTACTGGGAAATATTTGAGGTTACCAAGTATACAGGACAAGGATTTATTTTCCATACAAGCAAAATGTTGTTAAAAACCTGTATGTGTGCACCTGAAGCGAGCACGGGCTTCCAAGGTCAATCCTTTCCATGTGACATTAGATTCCAGCAGCAGTGTGGCAGACATTTCAAATCTGATTTCACTTCTCCTAAATAAATCCTCTCTTCATAATGTTTCTGTTTATCTTGTATGTTTGACCAGAATGACGTGAGGCGTAGCCACTTGTACTGCCGCTACCAGGATAGAAACAGGAACCCTCGTCTCCTGCTGAAGCCCATAAAAGAGGAGGATGAGTGGGACAGCCCCCGCATCGTACGCTACCTGGACGTCCTGTCACACGAGGAGACTGAGAGGATTAAGCAGCTGGCCAAACCCAGGGTGAGACAAGAAGCAATACATCAATGATAATACATCTAAACATTCTGCACTCAACCCAGGACATAACACTAAATCCTGTACAGTGACCTTAGTACTTTTAAAGGAAACAAAATACCAATGTTTAACACCTAATTCAGAACAAAAAAATCCTAAAGCCATGAGCTTGTAAGGTGATGAAGTGCAGCTTCTTTTTTCAAAGATAAGTTGTACAAAGCAATAGTTTTTACATTTGGAATGAATAAAAAGGTGTTTATTTAGAGAAAAGCGTCTGAATCAGCAATATGTATAGACTTACCAACATGTTGATAAATTGAATAAGTGGACACACTCTTCTGCGTAATGTTTATGATAAACATAATCATCAATAATTGTATATCTGTGTGTTGTTTTTGCTTCATAAGCTTGCCAGAGCTACTGTCCGTGACCCCAAAACAGGCATCCTGACCACAGCCAACTACAGAGTGTCCAAAAGGTAAAAGGTTTTTGGAAGCACTTTTGAGGATTACAAGCATTAAAGGGCTTACTGTTAACTGATTTTCTTTTATTTAGTATTGATACTATTTGCCGTGTAATTCAGGTTATTCAGGGTTTAGCCTTTGCCTTTTACCCAAACTACATCCTCACTCTGCTGTGAAACCTGTGCTTATTCTTTGATTCCAGTCAATCTGTGGCTATAACTCTGTCAGTAGTAATTATACGGAATGTGTCACACCTGTGGGTGCGACGTGTCTGCTATACAGTACCAGTGAAAAGTTTGGACACACCTTTTCATTCAATGGTTTTTGTTCATTTGTTTCCACTTTGTAGATTAATACTGAAGACATAACAACTATGAAAGAACACATATGGAATATTCTAGTTAAGAAAAAAGTGTTAAAAAATCCAGAATATGATTTAGTGAAGCTGACTGAGAGAAGCCAAGAGTGTGCAAAGCTGTCCTCAAGGCAAAAGGGGGCTAATTTGAAGAATCTAAAATATAAAACATATTCTGGATTGTTCATCACTTTTTTGTTTAGCCTACTAGATAATTCCATATGTGTTCTTTTATAGTTTTGATGTCTTCAGTATTAATTTACAATGTAGAAAATAATTCAAATAAATAAAACACTTCGAATGAGAAGGTGTGTCCAAACTTTTGACTGGTACTGTATGTCACAGACAAAGACACACACACACACACACACACACACACACACACACACACACACACACACACACACACACACACACACACACACACACACACACACACACACACACACACACACACACACACACACACACACACACACACACACACACACACACACACACACACACACACACACACACACACACTATCCCTCTGTCTCTCCTCCTGGTCAGTTAGAGCTTGTGGTTGTCGGTTATTAGGCGCTTTCACACTGCGGTACTTTTCCCACAAAGGTTCATGTGAACTTAGTTCATGAGAACTCTTTATATTAGTTCTCATGAACTAAGTACAGATCGCGTTCACACTGGAAAAAGTCCCTGGGGGTGGATTAGGCAAATGAAGCCGCTGACGTCACTTGTTCTTCTTCTGCTTTGGGTTTATTGGCAGGCCGCAAACCACTTCACGGCGTATACTGCCGCCCAAAGTCCCCGGCCGGAAGTCCCCGGAGTTAGGGACTGGCTTCAGTAGAAGCTGCTGGGACTCCCAGCAGCTTCTACTGAAGCCTTCCGAGTAAATCGCCAGAACGCCGACACCTCCTCATCTCCACCACTCCCATGTTTTATTTTGTGTTGCCATAAGTTAGTCTCTCTGCGTTTCTGCGCTGGGCTAATGCTAATGCTAATAATGCTAATGCGAGGATAATAAAATGGCGGCTTCACAAAACTTTTTGGGAGTTTTACGGGGCGTGGTTTGCAATCCTTCCAGCCAATCAGAAATATAGCTCTTTTCTCACAAGAGAGCCGCTCGAAAGTCCCTGCTCTCTAGCAGGGACTTTCGAGGGGGTAAAAAGGTTCACATTAACTAATTTTAGTACCGGCTCTTTTTGGTGTGAACGCGATAAAAGAGTTCACATGAACTAAGTTCACATGAACCTTTGTGGGAAAAGTACCGCAGTGTGAAAGCTGCTTTTCACTCAGCCACCCCTTGGTGTGCTGTGAGTTTATTTACCTTGCTTGCAGATGATGAAAGTGCCTGTTGCATGCTGACCTGTGTGAAGGATATCTTTGTGAGCAGAGTAATTGGAAACCCCAGAAGCTGCTGAACTCTGAACGTGTTTTTTTTAGCCTGGCCTTGAGAAAAGTTTATGAGCAATACAAGTGAATAAAAGCGATGTCACACTGTATCACAACATCTATTCTGAAAGGCCTGCTTTCTCAGGGGGTATTTAACTTTATTCACTTAACTCGGATAACTGAATATGGCAATTATCTGCCAATCTATTAAAGCAAATAATGCCATTGGACCTAAGAGGAAAACATGTTTACCAAATGAAAGATTGCGTAGAGGCTGCCTCAGGTCACAGGCAGCACATTCTGGAGGATACAGCCCTAACATCTGCAGCTGATTTAAGGGAAACAGCACGAAATCTCATCCTCTGAACTCTGTGTGCTCCCATGCTGTACATTTGGGTGCAAATTCCCATCCTTCCACCTTGAGTCCCTTGTGAAATTATGCCCCTATCATTCTTATCTTCCAAGGTTTCCCAGAAGAGTCCATCCTGCAAACTGTGTTGAGATATGGGTAATTGCGGGGGGAGGTCCTAACCTAAGGCATTTAGGTTAATTTAGCCTCCGAAATGTGACCTAAGGCCTCTGTTTTGTTACCTCACATGCGCGAGATACATATGGTGTGCGAATCACACTCCCAGGTGTGATTTATGTTGTCTTCTTGCTCCTGACCGGAGTTGGTTGTCATGGTGACAGGTTGACTGCTATAGAAAACAAGTTCCACAGCAGTGTTCAGTGAACAGTGCTCAGATTCCACTAGTTCAGAATAAAGAAGTAATTTGGTTTACAAGAAAAGACTAAATCAATCCAAATTATTATCATTAAAATCAAAAGGTGATAACACATGTAAACTTTTTTTTTGTTTAATTGCAAGAATTGAAAATGATGATACATAGACGTTTACAACAAATTACATTAGGACATTTACAAGTTGGCTACGGGTGGCAAAATGGTTTTGACAAGTTATTGCACGACAGGCATTTATTCTTATAACCTTTATTATTCTTATTATTTTTTTAGCTTTGAATCTGTATTATCTTAATTGGGTTTTTATTTTATTTATTTTTGTATTGGTTTATTTATTTTAGAGCTTTTTATATTTTATCGTATTTATTGTTTTTGTCTTATTTTTTTTATTTTCTATTATCATAGCTTTTACCTCCTGTGTCCCTTAAACTGTTAAACTGTTAAAGGACTTTGAGCTGGTTTATGAAAAGGAAAATATGGTCATCAATCAATCAATCAATGTTTATTTATATAGCCCAATATCACAAATGTTACATTTGTCTCAGTGGACTTTACAGTTTGTACAAAATATCAGTATGACAATACGACACCCTCTGTCCTTAGACCCTCACATCGTACAAGGAAAAACTTCCGAAGAAAACCCACAGTTTAAAGGAAAAAATGGGAGAAACCTCAGGGAGAGCAACAGAGGAGGGATCCCTCTCCCAGGACGGACAGACGTGCAATAGATGCCGTGTGTAAATTGAAAAGATAATACATTTGCAACATAGGTAGTCCAAATGTTTGGAAATGCATGTGTGTATAATAGGAAGATGAATCCACGAGGATATCCATCCAGGACCTATGATCCAGGACCACAGCCACGACTCAAGATCCAGGGCTCGCAATCCAGGACAGAGGAGCGCAGGATCATCCATGACTCCGGATCCCGGCGTATATAGACACCAAAAGAAAGACATTTGGGGAAGCTGGGTTAATCGGAACATGAGAGTACACAGGTATAGACAGAGAGAAGGAAGAAGTAAGATGTCCCCCGACAAACTAAGCCTATATCAGCAAAACTAGGGGCTGAATCTAATCAGCCCTAACTATAAGCTTTATCAAAAAGGAAGGTCTTAAGCACACTCTTAAAAACGGATAGGGTGTCTGCCGCCCGAACACAAACTGGTCATTTGTTCTGGGAATGTCATTTTAGAGCCTGAGACCTGGAAAACAGGCTCAGGGCTTAACAGGTTAAGCAAAATACTCGGACTGATATTTGATGAGGAGCAGGAGAGGAGCACAGAAACTTGAGGATCTAATCCTGAGTGTCCAGCCTGAGCTCTGAATTACTCAATCACCAGGGTTAAAGTGTGTTTGTGCATCGTACTATATGCTTTTACATGAACACTTTAATGTTTTTTTTCCCAGTGCATGGTTAGAAGAGGAAGATGATCCTGTCATTGCCAGAGTCAACCAGAGAATAGAAGACCTCACAGGCCTCGAAGTAGACACTGCAGAGTTACTACAGGTAATTTCATACAGGGACAATAGACCGAATTGCATTAAGCAACACACCCTTATTTCACATATAACTCAGTATTCTGACATCCATTGTTATGATTTTATTCACTAAAATGAAAGTGATATGTGCAGGGTAACGTTTTTAATTTAATTCGATTTTGTTGAACTGATAGGTTTACACATTCAGAACTTCCCATTATATCTTATCCAAGGCAGTATAAAAAAAGTTAACTGAATTGTGTTTGTTTTATTTAAAGCAAGGACAAATCACATTAAAGAAAAGCCCAACTGTAGTGGGATATGTAATGTAATCAGTCAGTGATATTCAACAGACCTCACTGGAACTACTTTCTTACAAAAAAGTTATCCCTGTTTATATCCTAAGAAGAGTTGTACATTCAAGCAAAGTATACAACAATTATTCTTAATTTAGCAATTACTGTATATTCCAGGATAGATTACAATTAAGATGACAATCATGTTGTTATCAACTGATTATGTTTGCCTAATGATATAAAACAATGAATAAAACGTTTAAATCATCTTTGTCAATGGCTGACCAGGTCGCTAACTATGGAGTTGGAGGACAGTACGAGCCACACTATGACTTCTCAAGGGTGAGTTAATGTGTGAGTGAGTGTGGGTGTGGGTGGGTGGGTATGGAAATAGATTGTTTTAGTTTCAATACTTTTATGAAGATCACTGTTAGTGAATGTGTCTAGTACTCTTTATTATAAGGAGCCCATCGCATTACTTGTATGAACATTCTCTCATTGTCTAAGATTGAATTGCTTGAAAACCAACAAAACCCTTATTACCTTTAATTTTATGTTTCTATTATTCTATTCTCTGCACTGTGAAGGACACATTTTGTACATGTCTGTGTTCTTTAGGGTCAGTCATTTGACTCCTGACATTTTAGCTGTAAAACCCCCCAAAAATATATAAACATTTAAAACATTTGTTTTGGTTATTTTGGCAGATTTTAGAGGTACACTTCTAACCTTTATGGCCTTCCATCGCCATCACCCTACCTTTCGTAGTGTGTGAAGACTCAAAATGTCTTCAGTTGTTTGGAAAATACAGTTATTGCCAGGACATTTCAATCCTGCCCAACAATAACCGACAAATAAAATGAAACTGCTGCTAGACAACAGCATGGCACTTCCTTTTTAAAATACGGTGCCGTTTGGTTGTGAATAATCAAGTCATAATCTGAATATTACTGTCTCCTCTTCCTGTGCCTCTTATTTCTCTACTTTTTCTTTTAAATGCTTAAAACCATCTCCTCTTTTTCTCCCACCTTTTCTTTAATCTGGGCCTGATTACACTCATAATTCCAGTGTTACTAAAGTTAACTGTTGTTAAACTGTGGTTCTGTTTTGTCACTTATCTACCTGCTCATCCATTTATTTTGACTGCAATATGTGTTGATATCCACAGAGATATCACACTGAGTTTGATCATCTGAAATCTGTGTAATGTTTGTTTTAACTCTGTCAAAATATCTGCACTGCTTGTTGACTGACTGTATAACTTGGTGCATTGTGGACTCATACCCCCCCATCCTTTAAAGGTTCCTAAGTGACCCTTTCCCTCAGAGATCCCAGCTCTGTTCCCTCTGTGTTCCAGCTGGGAACCATCTAAGATGTGATCTATGGTCTTCATAAGATCTATAGCTGTATGTATTGTGCAGCCAGCTAAATAATCTTCTTGTTACATTAATGAGCCGAGGTGAAAAAATGACAAAGTGATAATTTATGGATTATTAGATTTTTGGTCTTTTCTTCTGAGGATCCTCTTTGAATAAGTAGCCAACTTTATGATTTATGCATCTTCTTATACAATAATTAAGTGCTACATGTCAACTTTTTGTAGTTTTATATGCATTATGTTCCTTTAAAACTTTTAAGTTGTACTTGCGTGACATTTAGTGAAATTAAGTTGTAATGACATTGGATGTAAGTGTAGTTAACCTTTAACAACATTTTCTTCTATAGTACCATTATTTTGTAATAACACCCGCATTTGTAGGAAATTGCTAAACACTATATTGATACACTTCCAAGTATTTTGTTATAAATCATAACATATTGTAATGATTGTTACACATTTTACATACACAATTCATTTTACCCTAGTGAGTATGTAAAAAATACACACAAATGGATGACTTCATTAAAAAAAAATTGCTATAACATTGTAACAACAATGCATATTTGATGCATTTGAGCATGACTAGTACTGATATAATACAATAATAATAATAATAATAATAATGCATTACATTTTTTATTAGAGCGCTTTTACAGGTGCTCAAAGCGCTTTACAAGTACACATTATACATATTAGACATGTAAGAGTCATTACTGCGGACATTACCCACAGGAGCAAATGCGGGTAAAGTGTCTTGCCCAAGGACACAACGGCCTGATAATGGGTCAAAATTAAGTATGGCGTTGAATAAAATGGGTATAACTTACACTTTTACACATGCAATATGCTATAATTTAATATGAAATGCAGGGAAAGGTATAACACATTACATTATGTTTACATTACATTATGTGGTGTTATCACATAATGTGTTATTACAGTGCCCTTAGTGGTGGGGCTCCTATTCCATGTCTTTTTAGTGATGGGTTCATGTCTAACCATCTGTTGCAGCCTCCTTTTGACAAGAATCCCGACGGAAATAGACTTGCTACATTCCTAAACTACGTAAGTACGCGTGGGTCGGAGAGCAGTGCTTTCATCATGTATTTTCACTCTTGAATTTTATCTTCATAGAAAGATGAACCTGATGCTTTCAAAAGATTAGGCACTGGAAATCGTGTGGCAACTTTTTTAAATTACGTAAGTATGTGCACTTAGTCGTCATTGGTTGAAGGCCGGTTTCCTGAAATCTACACACCGGCCTTTCTTTGTTTTCGCTTCATGCTCTGGTTCAACTTGGACTTGGATTGATTGACTTTCATTTGGCGAACACAGTCGTACCTCTCAAATTCTGTAGGCACTTGATGCAATGAGGCAAGAGGCTGTCGCATTAAAAAAATAAAACTCTCACTACCCCATCACTTGGATGACTGAGAAACAAACTTCAAGGAGGTTTTTCTGTCAATCAGTTCCAGTACACATTGCAGAGAGTTGTGTTGGCCATCCCCCATTAACTCTTTATTTTACACTTGCTAACACTGGGTTGTACAAAATACAATGACTCCCCAAAACAGAACGTTTTTTAATGATGTATGCACCTGAATGATCCAGAGAATACAAGGAGTAAAACACTTCACACATTTAAAGTACATCCTTCCGATAAAGGATCATCACTTTAGATCAACAAGCATGTTTGACTCGTTTAAAAAGATATGAGACACAACTAACATAAAATAACAGTGATGAAGTAGTGTGTGGAACAACTGCTGGGTCATTTTAGAGGAACTTTTTCTGTGCTCTGAAATCTCTATAGTCTTTATAGTTTTCCCTCACTGTATAAAGATGTGTGGCTTGTCATTTTGTACAAATTACTTCATGCAAGTCCTTAACTGGACCCAGTTTTTTACTTCAGATGCCACTCATTAACACTAGAACCGCCAACATTCCATTACTCCTAGAACTGCTGAGGGGGTAATTTTGACCCCCCCCCATCGCTACATCCTCAGCACTTGCAGAGATGTAATTTTTAAAACATTTAATTTGTTAATTTTCATCATTTCCTTATATACTAAGTAGGACTTCACAAAAAAACAATTTAAAACCCAGTTTATGGTGTTAATTGCTTCAGTTTATAATCATAACAGATCAAAAAGTTCAGATTGATTTTTACAATAAATCAATAAATGTGGCGCTTCTACAAACAAAAACAACGTAAGAAATACATTTATTTTGTGCAAATTACTTCATGCAAAGTCCTTAACTGGACCCTGTTTACATGCCACTCATTAAGCAACATTTCAAATGTTTTTACAAAAGAAATTACATTACACAATAATCTATCTTGCTATATAGTGCTCTGAAATTAAAATCAATGTATACAGTATATACATTCACAGCAATTATAAAACAAACAAAACATGTGTTTAATTAAAGCAGTTTCCAACGAGTGTGTGTGTTTCCTCAGATGAGCGATGTGGAGGCAGGAGGAGCCACCGTCTTCCCTGACTTTGGAGCAGCTATCTGGCCTAGAAAGGTGATGACAGCAAAGCATGTCTGTGAATAAATATCATAATAATATTTTCCAATTTAGACTGTGTTCACTTTGTAGGGCTAGTGAAAAACAGATCTTTCTGTGTTGTTATGTCGAGTCAATGATTAAACACGACCACTCTCTGTAAGTCCTGACAGAATGATGGAGGATCTCAGTGGGAGGTTTCCTCTACATTTACTAGGTATCACTTTGAAATGAAAATTGATGAAGCGTGACATTTTTTAAACTATAGACTTTGTGCAGTACTTCAGAAGTATTTGCCCTAGGTCATGGCTCTTTAACAGTGGCGCCGTGGCACAGATGGGGGCCCTTACCGCAGGCCACCAAATGATTATCATTTATAATGTTTGGAAAGTCTATTATTTTAATAGGTCTAGCATTACACATAAATCAAAATACCATTAACAAAAATGTATTGGCCTATTTGTTAAAAAGAAACAAAAGATTTTATTAACACCAAATGAATGATCCTCTTTCTGTAACTAAACATTTACTATGAATCCTCTTGGAACTACATTGGCTAGCTCACTTATGTTAAATCGCTGCAAATAGTGAAATAGTGTTTCACTATATAGTATAGTATTGTTTGTACATGGTGCTTTGGGCTACCCTTCAACATAATACACATACCATGGACAAAAGGGAACTGTCTACCAGAACAAAGTGTCTGCCAACACTTTGTTCTTCTTCTATCTTCTGCAGTGTGTAGATGTCAAATATATTTTCTTTTCTTTTGCCAAGAAGCTGTTTCTTTGTACTTTGCACGCTCCTCAAACACTTGTTTGTGATGTTAATAATTCTGGTCATTTATCTGAATGTCTTTCTCTGTGAAGGCAGCTGTCTTTTTACTTGTAGCTTGGAAAACAAACTGCAATTGGCCTTGGACAGTTGTTGTGTCCCAATGTTGACCTCTGTTTTCCAATTTCTTGCTTATCAGTCTATCCAATAGTCCAACCTTATCATTTCCCTCGAAGTGTTGAGTCCCAAAGTAGACCCTCACGTTTCTCCTGCTGGCTTATAACAACTTTACATTCTACTTAGAATTGACTTTTTTGTTTTCTGTGTATTTTTCAATCAATACCATATATGTATATATGCATATGTTTCTCAAGCAACCAATAGTCCGCTTGAGAAACTCGGGTCATATTGCTGCAATGATCCACACTCAGCGTGAAGCCGCTTGTGCTCCAGGACTGCTGTAGCCCAGCATCTGTCTTTTAACTATCGTCTCCTCTCTCCTGTACATCATATGTGAGCTTTATGTGTGAATTTGTTCCATTTCTCCACAGGGGACAGCAGTGTTTTGGTACAATCTGTTCAAGAGTGGGGAGGGAGACTATAGGACCAGGCATGCAGCCTGTCCTGTCTTAGTAGGAAGTAAATGGGGTAAGTAACAGTTAAGATTCATCACGGTTTTTAATTATTACATTGAATGGGAAGGAATAATATTTGGTGAATCTTTGGTCATTATGAGTCTTACCGTCCCAGAGAACAGGGCTGTTTTTTTTGTTTAGAATGCATGACTAATCCGACTAGGCTTTTTTGTTCCTCATATGTATCTTTTCTTTTATTTCATCAGTGTCAAATAAGTGGATCCACGAGCGAGGACAAGAGTTCAGGAGACCCTGTGGCCTGACAGAAGTGGACCGAAGTTAAACACACACTTAACAAACGTGCAAAGACGCATGCACTGTAAACACACCCTCAGTAGTACCTTAATTCGGTAAATTATTTAATAACCCATAGACACATAACTCAACACCTGGCGCTCTCTGCTTCAACTTGTCTACATCGTAAATGTTTTGAGGAAATTATATCAGCCTGAGGTGCGAAGAGGTACAAAACACATGTACTCCCACACCTTCCCCACTAAAGTGAATTAGGAATAAAACGTGCGAATTGTAAATCAAATTCCTTTATCAAAACAAAACACAGAACTATGTCAGTGCTATGATGGTTTGCCAATGTACACCCACTGTACAGTCACTAATATCTTAGTATATGTTATTAAGTTATAAGCAGTTCATGAGTTCTCTAACAAATCTTTTGTACTGATACCAAAAAACAAATACTAATGTTTTACATTGTAGTCCTCCATACTGCTCCATTTACACAATAAGATTTGTCTAACCCCTAAAAATGAAAAGCCCTTATTTATGTACCTAATATCCTAGCTTTTAAAAACATACATCGAAACATACAGTTGGTGTGTTGAAGGCCTTACCAAAATGGTTTCAGAGCAAATGAGTGAAGTTTCAATGTGATAGACATATGTATTGAGTTGAGAAAAATTACCTTCTTTCAATGATTTAGTGACTCTTTTACCTAACTGTAGTTGATGATTACCTAATGCTACAATGGATGCATTGAAAAGGTATAGGCTCTATTTGAAGGTTTAATAAGGAAACATTTAAAGAAAAACAAACTATTTACCTACAGTATACTACTTTCATTTTGTAGACATAAATAGGCTTTACTCTATCTTCATTTACACATATACTTGATTACATTCTCCTGACACTCTGTTATGGTTTGCATCTAAAGGGTTTATTTTCCTTTAAACCTGAAAGAGAAACATTTCCTCCATAATATGTCCATGATGTTTTATTTATGTAGTGTTTAAATTATTTCACTGTTACATGTTGTGCTCTTTGGTCAAGCTGGCAAACAAGCAAGTCTAAATAAACTGTGTCTTTTATTAAAATGTTTACTGTCATAACTTTATTACTGGTTAATTCACCGAAAAACAGAGTGAGCAAAGTAAGAATATATCAAGAGTGATTTGCTCGAAGCTATTGCACACTCTTTAGGCATTCATTATAATATTTTGATTTCACTGTCCAGCAGTTACCAGTTTATTTTATTAAAAAAAAGCCCCTTAATCTAATGTTGTATAATCTTAAACATATTGATGAATGAATGTATATTTTATTTTCATGTCAGGCCATTTACCGTAGCATGAAAACCTGTGGACATGTGGACCGTTGGGATTTCCGGTACCACTTTACAATAAGACTACCCTCATAAAGGGTTTATAATTAGGTTATGAATTAGGTTGTAAACACTTTATTAATCATTAAGAACCTTTTATAAACCAGTTCTAACATAGTTTTCATACATCAACACAGGCTCACTATTTGGCAAGATGACTAGGCTTTATATTGGCTACTTAGCGAGAATCAACTCGGTGAACAACAGATACCAAGGATGCTGGCTGATGAAGAAGATGAAGTAAGCTAAGTAGCCATGATGCTTAGCAGTACAGATAAATGTGGGCTCTATTTGGCAAGCAACTGTTCACAGTTGCCCTGTTTATCTCATGTCTTATAAAAGCTTATTAATGATTTATAAAGTGTTCACAACCTAATTAATAAATTACAAACTATTCGTAAACCCTTTCTAAGGGAAAGTGGTACCGGATTTCCTTGTTTAATGCATGAATCGGTCATTAAATGTGATCTGATCATCTAAGTCACAGTTATAATCAAAAACACTGAGCTCAAGCTAATCTCACACACACACACACACACACACACACACACACACACACACACACACACACACACACACACACACACACACACACACACACACACACACACACACACACACACACACACACACACACACACACACACACACACACACACACACACACACACACACACACACACACACACTCTTTCATGTCTTTATTGAACAAACCCATTTCACCATTGACAGTAATCTCATTTGCTAATATAGAATACTTATACAAGAGACAGAGTTTTAAAATTGGCACACAATATTGTGAGTGACCTGAGGCCTCTTACTTTGAACTGTTGCCATCCGGGCGGAAATATCGTCCCCCTCTGTTCAAAAATAACAGATCCGGGCTTTCTTTCGTCCCACAAGCCATCAAACTCCTAAATAAATGATGGCTAGGATGCACTGTTTACCCAGCTGATCTGGCCCTGTCCCCCCTATTTCGCATATGAGGGCCTATAGGCCCCTTGTCATGTCTGCCGATATCTGGTTTTCTTATGTCTGTTTGTTTTAATCTGTGTTAATCTGTTAATCTGTGACGTATTGTATTATCTTTTTAAATGCCTTTGTGATGTGCTGCAACCCATTTCCCCCTCTGGGACAAATAAAACGAATACAATATACAAAAAAGGGTTGTCCAAACATTTTATAATCAGTCAAATGTAAATTATGCTTGATACTTGAATATGCTTCTTTTTTTTTTAAAACAGCTCTCCATAGGGTTTCATTTACTCTGTTTACCCAGGGGGCAAACTCATTTTACAGACATGGAATGTTGTAAAAGGTTGTCCACCAGAAATGATATCTAGGACCTTCAAGGATCACAACCTGGGTGGATAACCCGGTCAACTAGCTACTGGAAAGCTACAGTGAGGGTCCAAACAATGCAACCCCTATATGAAAAAAAGTAAAAAATTAAAAATGTGCTATAGAGTGGCAAAGTCCCTCCCCTTCCGGTGGACCTCCATGGGACCTTATTTCGAAAAAAGTATGTATTGAAGTCAATGGAGAGAGAAAGATTATCTTTCAATCCCGTTTGAATTTTGCCACGAATTACACATATGATGTTTGTCAATTTAAAAGATCATTTTGCAAGTAAAAAAATAATAAATGTTTCGTAAAACTATGAAGTAACACATTTGTTTGTGTGAAACGCTCAATGAACTACATCTCTGGTCTCGCAGAACAACACACGTCACCAAGATGGCCGTCACTCATAGGCGGCGCGTGAGGCTCAGGTTTGGGAAGGCTAAATAACTTTTTTTTACCTGATGCTGCCCGCCTCCGGCGTCTATATAAATCAAATCAAGTTTTATTTATATAGCACATTTATAAACGATTTTTGGTCTAGCCAAAGTGCTGTACATATAATAAAAATAGCCTACAATAGAACATTTTAAACTGCCGTATGCCAGTGCTTCTCAAAGTGTGGTCCGCGGACCACTGGTGGTCCGTGAGCGCCCCCTAGTGGTCCGTGAGTATATTGGTAAAATTTCACATTTGAAATAAATTAAATTTAAGTTTTTCGCACTCTCACTGGAATATCTCCGCAATGGAGCGAGCTTAAGTTTCACTTTCGATTGCATGATATAGCCCAGATAAACACCTTCATCACACATGTTGCCACTTGTTTGTACCATTTTCAGGCGATTTGTAAAAAACGATGTGTTTTGGGATATTTGTGGAGTTAGGTGGTCCGCGAGTGTTTTTTTATTGGTTAAGTGGTCCTTGGTATGAAAAAGTTTGAGAAACACTGCCGTATGCATATACAAAATAGATCAACTCAGTGAAAGCACCGCCTGCTGACCAATCAGAGCTCAGTGTGCGGAGTTTAAATCTATCAAGTCATATTACAGGGTAGAGGAAATACAGTTTAAACTGCCGTATGCAGAGCAGACGCCGACGTGTCGCACTTATCATTCATATCACATCATCAATCAGATCATCCATCATATAATATCACAATATTTCCTTATCTGAGTCAGCTTCTTGAGCCGTATCTGGCCGTGCAACACCTACAGTGTCACATGCTGTATGCAGAAGTATTATTTTAAGCAACACATTAAGTTGACGAAATACTCAAATGTAATTAAAGTCAGATCCACTCGTGTCTTAGACGGGGCAGTGATATCAGTGACAGTGACGCATTCAAACACTCGGTAGTTGATTTATTTTTTAACCAGTTGTTCTGTATTCACCTTGCAGGTGCAGCTATGTGGCTTGTATCCTGGATTATATGTTTAAATCATGGATGTTTAAAGTTCACATTTGTCTAATATTAGTTTACTTTTCATTAATGAAGTATGACGCTGCGCTGTCAGTACACTTGTCCCTGTTTGTGATTGGTCAAATGTAGCTAACCCCGCCCCTTTCACGTGAACGCGCTCTCAGCTGGAGAGAAACCCTGGCTTGATTTACCGAGTTGATAACCAGCGTCGTAGGACCACTTAGCGAGATCTCGTTTGTTAGGGTTAGTTAAGATAACTCAAACATATCCAGGGTCTGTTGAACTGGCTTCGTAGTACAGGGCACAGGTGACACAGGTGGCATTATACATTATATTTGACCAGGATGCAGTGACACAAATATTTGGGAAGGCTTAGCCTTCCCTAGCCTACAGTACCCGCCGCCCCTGCCGTCACTACTGTCTTGTCAACAAAACGATTGACTACCCTCACTATCACCACAATGAAACACGTCCAGAAGAATGTCATGCAAAGCTGCCTGCCTTCCTTCCTTTGATTCTCTCTGAACTGCCTGGTCTTTTTAATGTTTAATGTCAACCATTTGTGCAGATAGCATGAAGTAGAAAAGATCGCAGGTGCTAATGTAGCGTTAGCATTTCTCCCCCGGGCTTAAATTGTGTATTATAGAATGATCACACCGGTGACAGTACTCTTCAAAGGGTTCACGAAATATGACTACTACTCTTACTGTTTAACATTTTTGGGTTACATTAAATTACATTGCATTTAGCTGACGCTTTTATCCAAAGCGACTTACAATAAGTGCGTTCGACCAACAAAATACAACTTGAAGAAAACAGAATCATATAAGTACATCAGGCTTCATAGAGCAAAAACATTTAAAGTGCTACTCAACTGGCTTTAGATAAGCCAGTCCTTTATTAGTATAAAAGTGCTTCGTTAATAGTTCTATCGCTCGAAGTGGAGTCGAAAGAGATGAGTTTTCAGTTTGCGCCGGAAGATGTACAAGCTATCTGCCGTCCTGATGTCAATGGGGAGCTCATTCCACCATCCTGGAGCCAGGACAGCAAACCCACGTGTTTTCGCCGATGGGAACTTGGGTCCCCCTCGCAGCGAGGGCGCAGCGAGTCGTTTGGCTGATGCAGAGCGTAGTGCACGCGCTGGGGTGTACGGTTTAACCATGTCCTGGATGTACGATTGGCCAGATCCATTCGCAGCATGGTAAGCAAGTACCAGTGTCTTGAAGTGGATTCTAGCAGTTACCGGAAGCCAGTGAAGGGAGCGGAGGAGCGGAGTAGTGTGGGAAAATTTAGGAAGGTTGAAGACCAGACGAGCCGCTGCATTCTGGATGAGCTGCAGAGGTCGGATGGCACATGCAGGTAGACCAGCCAGGAGGGAGTTGCAGTAGTCTAGGCGTGAGATGACGAGAGCCTGGACCAGAACCTGAGTCGCCTTCTGTGTCAGCTGAGGACGTATCTTCCTGATGTTGTAAAGCGTGTATCTGCAGCAACGGGTTGTTGCAGCGATGTTTGCAGTGAAGGACAGGTTGTTATCTAGGGTCACACCCAGATTCCTTGCAGTCTGAGTCGGGGAAACAACTGAGGTGCCGATGTTGATTGTTAGGTCAAGAGTGGGACAATCTTTTCCTGGAAGGAAGAGCAGCTCAGTCTTAGGGTTACTTAATGTTACTTCATATTAAGGCTAATACAAATGACAACCCTGCTGAAAAAACCAGCATGGACCAGCATGGACTTCAAGCTTGTCCATGCTGGTGGTTATGCTGGTATACCAGCATGGACCAGCATGGACTTCATGCTGGTCCATGCAGTAACATGGTATGAAAAAAAAAAAAAAAAATCTATTATTATTAAGATGGCATGAAATACAAAAATATACCAATATTTCAGTTTATATACATTTACAGAACATAAATAACTGCAAATTCATAGAATCTCTATATTAAATACATTTA